CATTTTCACTCTGACCGTGACCCACGCTCGTTCACAGACTTGTCCCTAACAAACAACCATTGGTATTCCTGTCCTTTCGAGCGGTGCAAGCTTGCAGTTCTGGGTTTTGAGGTCGGCCGACTCGGCCAGGAGGCGTTTGGGCCCATCCGGTGTATGCGCGCGGCACGTTTCCGCACAGCAGCGCGACAGGCCAAAGTCCATAAGTGGACGCGGATGCTGGCGGTCGCTGCTGTGCACGCCTTCGCGATGTTGCTGTTGGAGTTGGCTTTGGTGGCGGCCGGTGGTGCCGAGCCGCTTTTGGCGGAGGTGGCTGATGCCAGGACCACCGAGCTGGTCGGTCCTGACCATGGTGCCCGGCAGGGCTGTCCAACGCTTGTAAGGCCTGTGATGGGGCGCGCCCGGCCGGAGTGATGTCTTCGCCGTGGAGTTTTTCAGTTCTGGAATTCCCGAAGCGTGTGCCCTGGGCTCGAGCCCCTTGCCTCACCCCAGACCAGAAGTTGGGGTTGGTTGGTTGGCCCAAAGCGCTCTGGGTTCGTGGGGCTGGTTGTGGCGAAACAAATCAGACGGAAAAGTCCGAAGAAACACAACGAAGTTGTTGGTCATGTTAATGTTGTTTGTTTGGAAGTCCAGGGTTGGTGTATCATGTTTTCTATGTCTTTGTAATGACGGATCGGCCGCGCACGCACCGGCTGATTGCTGGGCCTTGGTGCAGTGCGCCGTGTGGCCACTAATCACCCAGGCCGAAGTCCCGCAAAACGGGAATGATTTGCTCTACCCCTTCAGGAACAATTTGCAAAGCACGCTTGCCAGCCTTCGTCTTGGAGGAGAGTGCGGGCATCACAAGCACTTTGCACATTGCAAACACGATGCATTGCCCTTTCCATCGGCCAGCAACACCACGGCTAGGCCCCATTTCCTCGAGCGCATGTTTCTGGTTTGTCGCCACGTGCCCGCGCACTGGTCCGCCCGCAAGCCACATGCAGAGGCGTGGTTGAGCCAATGTGAAACCCGCCACTACGTTGGCACCCCACGCCATGCAAGCACTGCGGCGACACCTGCGCTTCCCGCTCCCTATCAGCTCGAACCTTTGGGTCCGACCCAGTGGGCTGAGGATCGTTAGGGAGGCAGTGGGCCAGGACGGGCAGGATGTGCCACAGCCGTGGTTGGCGCACACCACAACTCCTTGCATGGACCCATGGGACAGGCGACGGTTGGACTTAAATGATTTAAGGCCGCCACAGCCTTGTGCCGCAGCGACCAATGGTGCTGCCCTGCACGTTGCAGAGCGACGCAAGTGCGATGCTTACCCCGAACTGCCTGCGGGAGGTCCCAAGCAACTCATGGTTCTTGGCTTTGATGTTGGCGGACGAGGTGCAAGGCGCTTTGTGCGCGAGTCAATGTCCGTGTCCGGCGGCCCCCGCCTTCCGCCACGCTGTTGCACCTGCTTGGGCTAGGCGCTGTTGGTCTCAACTGCTGGCCCGCGCCAGCGCGCGCAAGCCAGGCCGCCGGCCCCAAAGTCGACTAGGTATGCAAGGGGCACGGCCGCTTCCTGTAAAGGCACTCCAAATGCAGTAGCACCAATTGTTGGGTGGCTTGCAGCGTTTGCTAACTCCGCAAGCCCGGACAGTGGCCTGCCTAGCAAGCAGCACGTGCTCATGCACAAAACAAACAACATGGCTTTAGCTCCTCCATACAAAAAACCATACCCACCCATGCTAGTGCAAGGCGCATGACCGCCCACCCAAGCCACAAGTGCGTGAATTGTTGACTCGTGGTAAAAGAACGGTCGTAGTTCTCATGCATCAATTGCACAGTGGTTTTGCAGCTATTCACTTGGACAAGTGGATGATCGACAGGCTGTGTTCGGAAGGAAAAGAAGCCAAAGCAACCAAGTCGGTGCTGCTTGTTCAAACAGCGAGTCTTGGTGTGCATAGAGGGCTTGGCAATGTTTTGTCTTATTCATTTGATGTGCAAGAAATTGCAACATATTGCTCAGCTCGCGTTGCATGTATGCATCTTCCCGAGACATGTTCCTCAGGGTTGCTCCGGCGCGGCCGAAGATCAACAACACCCTGGCGTCTGAGGATGTGCATGTCCATGGCCATGTTTGCCGTGAGTGGTTGTGATCTTGAGTTGCCCCCGTCGGTTGGCAGGCCAGCCCGCCTAAACATCTGCAAGCGTTTGATCACAATGAGGCAGGATGCTTTGCAAACGCCTGAAATGACACGGTTGTTGCTTTGTTCCATGTCATAGCACTCCAGGCAACACTGGTTCAAGAGTTTTCGGGTCGACTTGCGGCCGCGTTGGGCGTGACCGACATTGTTAGCCTATGTGTCCTCGCGCTGGTGTTCCTCCTGGCGCTGTATTTCGTGTGGGGTGGCACGTGGAACAAGTTGCCAAGCTTTGATCAAGTAGAGCTGTTTAGGGCCTTAGATCTTGGACCATTGCTAATCCGCAGGCAATAGTTAACAACTTGGCCAATCCCACCCGAAATCAACACTTGATTCAGCAATGGTCCTGAGGTCAGTGCACGCCGTTTGTGGAGTTCTTACGCGGAAGATGTGCTTTGAAATAAACTACATTGGCAGTGGTTCGTGCAAACGTAAAAATTGAACAGTTTGAAGTCAATCAGCGTTCAAGCTTCCAGCAATCTCGCTAAACCATGACAGTGTCATCTACAAAACACAAAGCCGTACTGCTCAGTGAAGACTAGCAACAGGAACCCCGATGACGTCACAACTTTTGGGACAGGGCGCAGATCATTCTCGGAGGTTCGTGTTTGTAGCTGTCCGGTCCAGGATATTCAAAGTTTTGCATGTGCCATTTGCCTTGTACGGCTCGGGGCTTGTTGCGTGGCTTGCGCCCTGACCTAAGTTGGATGATCCCATTACATTATTTTTCCGCAGGTGCAACCTACTTGGAATGCATATGTATCCCAGAAGGGCTTCATTGTTGTTCATAGCAATTCAGAGCACCATGACCGCGCACCGGGACCGCGCATCGGGGAATCTGGATCGTTATCCGTTGTCCTCGATAAGTGCATTGTCTTTGTATGGGTAGCCATGACCCCATGAACTGCAAGCTAATTGTTTCGGGATGTTTGGGGCAGTTTAGCAAACAGGTTGCCTTTGCAGAGTTTTTTCAAGAAACCTCGTGAAGTTAAAGGTTTTTTATATCCAACAAAATCATCATCAATAGGGTGCTTTGGCGGCTGTCTGCGTGTCCTCAGGTTAGAAGAAAATCCCTATGGGGAGTTGAAAGGCACTGGATTGCGCGCCGGTCGAGAAGCCAAAGACAGGTTCAACCAGTGGCAAGCCAGACAAGAGCAAGGCTCCCCTGTGAGCCCTTACAGCCCTTCGCAGGTGCCGTGGCTACACATCATGTTCACAAGTAGACAGCCAAAAGCCTGGTGAGACATCTGTCATGTTGTTATTCGGCTGCAGGCTTCTGGCGAGGCTTTTCCGACATCTCCAGGCGATGGGTCTCGCCGACAGCAAATGAGTTGTTGTTGACACAGTGCATCCAGAGGTTCATGCCAGATTAAAACGAGCTTTCTTTCACGGAACATGCATGCACTGCATTCTGCGCTTGTGCCTGCTAGGTTTGTGGAGCGTGTCACTTTGGGTGTGAGCTTGCTGCAGCCATTTCTTCATGATCCAGTCGCCGGGTTTTCCTTAGTTAGGCCCTGGACGCAACCTCAGGATGTCACACAGTAGAAAATGATCAGCTAAAGCCTGCGCTGGTGCAAATCTGCAGCTTGTTCTGTATTCCTATTCAGTTTCACAGCGTAAGATGAGTGCAACATGCACAAGTCAGCTTGATCAGGATCTGTGCGTAGCTGAGGTGGCATGGATGAATGGAGTTTGAAGAAGCGGCAAGAGGACAGAACAAAGAAGCCACACATTCAAAAAAAATCCAGACCCTGGCAGGATAAGATATGCGCACTGGGGTTAAATAGTCCTGGTGACGCATCCTCAGACGAAAGCAGCTGCAAAAGCAAGATTTACCATGCTGTCCAGAGTCCCAGGCGCAGAAAATCAAAGCCATCAACAGCAGAAGGGCTGAGCTTCTGCGTGAGCAGAAGGCAGGAACCTGGCAAAAAACATGTGCTTGTGTGTACCGGCTTTTGAGCTCACTGCCAGGCCCTGGCAAAAGGACTGAGGCGCTCGGTGGGCGAGGATCGTCACCATGTTGAAACATTGTTCGTCTTACCGCCTTGGATTTCAGGATATTGTCGTCCAGCGCGGCCCTGTGTGAGATCGTGTGTGGAATATCTTGTGCATGTGGCAAGTGACCCCACGGCCAAGGCGCAGCAACGTGAAAGCCCAGCAGGTGGCTGTCAAGAAGTTTCGGGCTCAGTTTATGGAGTGGCCCGTTGGAGGTAGGGAACAGCATTGGTTGTGATGAGTCTCTCGAGGTCTCGCCAGATGTTTGGATCCATGTCGCATTCCCAGTTCCAGCATCAGGCAACGTTACCGTCAGGAACGCTATTTTTTTTTTTCTGTCTGGTCCTTTTTGTTGTTGGGCCCTTCAAAGACGAGCCAGGCAGACCCGTAAGTGTGAACTCCCGTCCCCCGCCCAAACAGCCAAAAAAGAAGCACGTCCCCCGCCCAAACAGCAACAAA